GTGGAAGACAGGCCTGGCAGCCCTGCTTCTGAAAGTTTACAGCTCCAAAAACCCTATGGAGCAGTTCTACTTTACACATGTGGGGGTCTCCATGAGTCAGAATTAACTCAACAGCAGCTAACAACAATAAAGAGCTTACAAAAGTACCTGCCGCAAGTAAGTCCTACAATTTTAGCTATTACTATGAATTAGTATAGGTTCTTAAAGTAATTTTGATATTATCCTGAGCAAAACATAACTGCAAAAGTTAACCTATAAAGATAAATTAATTTCACTGTTGTTGTTGTTAGGTGCCATCGAGTCAGTTCCGACTCATAGCGACACCTGTGTACAATAGAACGAAACACTGCCCGGTCCTGTGCCATCCTCAAAGTTGTTGTTATGCTTGAGCCCATTGTTGCAGCCACCGTCAACCCATCTCATTGAGGATCTTCCTCTTGTTTGCTGACGCTCTACTTTACCAACCATGATGTCCTTCTCCAGGGAATGATCCTTCCTGATAACATGTCCAAAGTATGTGACATGTAGTCTCATCATCCTTGCTTCTAAGGAGCACTCTGGCTGTACTTCTTCCAAGACACATTTGTTCATTCTTTTGGCAGTCCGTGGTATATTCAGTATTCTTTGCCAACACCACAATTCAAAGGCATCAATTCTTCGGTCCTCCTTATTCATCGTCCAGCTTTCGGATGCATATGAGGTGATTGAAAACACCACGGTTTGGGTCAGGCATACCTTAGTTTTCAAGGTGACATCTTTGCTTTTGAACACTTTAAAGAGGTCTTTTGCAGCAGATTTTCCCAATGCAATACGTCATTTCATTTCTTGACCACTGCTTCCATGGGCATTGACTATGGATCCAAATAAAATGAAATCCTTGACAACTTAATCTTTTCTCCATTTATCACAATGTTGCTTATTGGTCCAGTTGTTGAGGATGTTTTTCTTTTATTTTTTATTGTGCTTTAGGTGAAAGTTTACAGCTGAAGTCAGTTTCTCATACAAAAATTTATATACAAATTGTTATGTGACATTATTTGCAATCTCTGTAATGTAATAGCATACTCACCCTTTCCACCCTGGTTTCTTGTGTCCATTCAATCAGTTCCTGTCCCTTCCTGCCTTCTCATCCTGCCTCCGGATAGGAGCCGCCCATTTCATCTGGTGTATCTGCTTGAACTAAGAAGCATGCTCTTCACATGTATTATTTTATGTTATATAGTCCAGTCTAGTCTTTGTCTGAAGAGTGGGCTTTGGGAATGATTTTATTTCTGGGTTAACAGAGCATCCAGGGGCCATGGCTTCGGAGGTTCCTCCAGTCTCAGTCAAACCATTAAGTCTGGTCTTTTTACGTGAATTTGAGTTCGTTCGACACTTTTCTCTCGCTCCATCAGGGACTCTCTGTTGTGTTCCTGTTAGGGCGGTCAGTTATGGTAGCCCGGCATCATCTAGTTCTTCTGGTCTCAGACAGGTGGAATCTCTGGTTTATGTGGGATTTTTGTTTTCTTTATGTTGAGGTGTAATCCATACTGAAGGCTGTGGTCTTTGATCTTCCTCAGTAAGTGCTTCAAGTCCTCTTCACTTTTAGCAAGCAAGAATTTCACTCTGGTAGAGGAAAAGTGATTGGATAATTTAAAAATGAGTCTGAATTTCATTTTGGAATATTTTAATAATTATACTGAGATTTTCCTCCTTGAAGAACTATATTTTAGAACAGATGTACAAATATATGTCCATTTACTAATAGGTATCTGTCTTTTGAACTTTTCCACGTTTTCATATTTTTCAGTCCATTCAGAGCCAAGATGTGAAAAGACTATTTGCAGTGAAAATATCTTGTTATAAGTATCTCAGGATAAGTAAACAATGAACCTATTAGAGGATAACTATGTGGCAATCGAAAGTTGAGTGTTTTTCCAGGTGGAAATAGGCTTCAGGCTTACGGCTTTGCACAATTTAATTCTCTAGAAGTCATGCCTAAATCCCTGGGCTTGGTTAAATTCTCCTTTGGGTTTTTTATAAAGCATACTAACAAAAAGATTGGCAGTTCAAACCCACCCAGAGGTACCTTGGAAGTAAGCCCTGGTGGTCTACTTCCTAAAGATCAGAACCTTGAAAATCCTATGGAGCATTTCTACTCTGCACACGTGGGGTCCTCTTGAGTCGAAATCGAAACTAACAACAAAAACATACTGTATATTACTCTTTTTGCACTTTGCAGATTTTGTTGAAATTGTATAACTGTATCTGTCTCTCTTACCACATTGTAAGCAGGGACTGTATCTTACTCATGTTTATGTCCTCAGCACAATGTGAGTGTGGAAGGCTTTTAATCATCTTGTTATACTGAGCAGTGATACAGGTTGCCACGTTTGTGGGATTTTTTTTATTTTTAAATCTCAAGTCAGAAATAATAGTAATTTTTTGAAGTCCTAAATTGTTCTCTAAATTTGATCATCTACAAGATGTTTAGAAGTAAACATAATTTGATAAAAAGCTATGATACTTTTAAGTAATGCTCCATGATATTAAAATCTAGTGTAGGAAAGCTTGGCCTTCTAGTTCTATCTGTGCCTCGTTTTTTTTTTACTCTCCTATGTGTATGTGAAGGAGCCCTGGTGGTGCAGTGGTTAAAGCGCTTGGCTGCTGTCATGGATTGAATTATGTCCCCCCAAAAATGTGTGTATCAATCTGGTTGGGCCATGATTCCCAGTATTATGAGGTTGTCCTCCATTTTGTGATTGTAATTTTGTGTTAAAGAGGATTAGGGTGAGATTATAACACCTTTACTGAGGTCAAATCCCTGATCCAATGTAAAGGGAGTTTCCCTGGGGTGTGGCCTGCACCACTTTTTATTCTACAAGAGATAAAAGGAAAGGGAAGCAAGCAGAGAGCTGGGGGACCTCATTACCACCAAGAAAGCAGTGCCGGCAGCAGAGCGCATCCTTTGGACCCAGGGTTCCTGCGCAGAGAAGCTCCTAGTCCAGGGGAAGATTGATGAGAAGGACCTTCCTCCAGAGCTGATGGAGAGAGAAAGCCTTTCCATGGAGTTAATGCCCTGAATTTGGACTTCTAGCCTACTAGACTGTGAGAAATAAATGTCTCTTTGTTAAAGCCAGCCACTTGTGGTATTTCTGTTATAGCAGCACTAGATAACTAAGACAGCTGCCAACAGAAAGTTCTGCAGTTTAAACCCAACAGCAGCTTCGCGGGAGAAAGATAATAGCAATCTGCTTCTGTAAAGATTACAGCCTTGGAAACCCTGTGGGGCAATTCTTCCCTGTCCTGTAGGATCACTATGAGTCAGAATCGACTCGACCACAATGGGTATGTGCATCTGTGTGTATAGGTATATGCATATACTATATGGAGGGAACCGTGGTGGTGCAGTGGTTAAGCTCTCGGCTGCTAACTGAAAGGTTGGCGGTTCAAATCCATCAGCCGCTCCGCAGGAGAAAGATGTGGCAGTCTGCTATCCTAAAGATTTACAGCCTTGGAAGCTGTATGGGGTAGTTCTGCCCTGCCCTATAGGGTCACCATGAGTTGGAATTGACTTGACAGCAGTGGGTTATATACTGTGTATCAATATGTATTCATTTTAAGATGAAAATTGGATTACCTTTGCCACTTGCTCTTCGTTAGTAGATGATCATATCCTCTTCATAATTAAAGCAAAAGCCAACAGACAAGCTCCATCTTGTATGGGATTCCAGTTACCTGTAAGTCTGTTCTGATGGTGACCCCATATGTGTCAGAATAAAACTGTGCTCCGTAGGGTTTTCAGTGGCTGATTTTATCACAACTGGCTCACTGAGCCTATCTTCCAAGGACCCTCTGGGTAGATTCAAGCCTCCAACTTCTTGGTTAGCAGCCAAGCACATTAATCGTTTGTACCACCCAGGGGGACCCCCTTGTATGGGATATTTGAATATAATAAAGGGTCCTTAGAGTATAGAGTACTTGCTAAAGTGGTAAAGATAGGTGCAGTTTAATTTGCATTCTTTACTGATGTCAAATTCATTCAGAGATTTATTGGTCACCCTCTTGGTGGCAATCTATTACATGCTATCATAGTGTCTTTTTAAAGAAACTGTGCTGCAAGTTGCTGAAATGCAACTCCAAAGGCATTTAATTTTTAGCTATTTTCTAATTGAATTTAATGTACGTTTCTAATAGTCTATCAGAAATTCAGGCATTAGAGAAGCCTCCTGTATTTTAATGGGCAAAATATAATGATCATTCTCGCTGTTGGTGTTTTAGTCAAACAAGTGTTTTGATGTAAAAATGCTGACTAAGTCATGGTATGTTTTATGCCTACCTCTTCACAGCAGTATGTAGTGGTGTAATTGTCTTGCATTTAGTAAATACATAATTCTGAATGAAGAGTGACCCCAAGAGAATACTGTGCTCTTAAGCTTTAATATTTTCTTTTTTAATCACTAGTGAACTTTAAACAAGTTAAACTTCCAGTAGCATTTGTAATGATGCATTTAAAATGTTTTCATTTAACTTATTTATACACAACTATATAAAACCACATGGAATTTGATAGTTGTTTTTGATTTAGGAATATGATTTTTTTTCCTTCAAGTTTTGTATTTCATTTTTTGAAAAAATAGTTACGTAGGAAAATCACAAACAGCTTTGAAAAGATTAAGTAAATTTTCATCACTCGTTAAATTCTGTAAGACTAGGCTACCTACATTTTTTCTACGTTTTAAAAATCAGTAGGCTTTATTCTGCTGACATTGCTCCCAAGTCACATTGTGATCTTACAAGCTAGGAACTCAGATTAACTCTTTCGTTTGTTTTCAACTTGAGTCAAAAATATTTTTAGTCAATATACTTTGAGTTAAACATTAGGTTTTTAGTTCTTAAGAAAAATGCTGTGTTCAGTAGTTCCCATCTCACCCCTACCACCTCACCCTCCACCCCGATTTTTTTGCCTTTTCAAATAGCTCCATAATTTTCAAACCTCGCTTTCCTGTCTTGTCTTAAAGGTCGATTGAGCTATCCACATCCAGGGACTGACAATCTGTTGATGTTAAATGGTAAGTTGTATAAAACACTTTATGTTTTCAATTGATTTATATAAATAAAGATGGTTGAATATATGTTTCATAACCCTGCCACAATTAATCATTTTATAAATATAAAATAAAGCTCACTTATTCCTGTATGGAAAGCAGAATCAGGAGTTTGTGTAGATTCTGATGATGAATTGTGTTTGTGTAAAGTAGCCATGCAACACATTTGTGGCAGTCTGATTTAATTAATTGATTACTGACTTGGGGCAGCTCAGGGTTTGAATAATGTCTGTCCGGTTTAAGGTATCACCTTGGGCAAGTAACTTCATTCCTATGAGCCTCAGTTCCTCCATATGTGAAATGAGAATTATAATCTCAAGATTTATTATGAGGATTTAATGAGATGTTTGCAAAGTTAGTACAACTAGTTACTTAGTAATAGCACTTGTGTTTATACTTAACTAAGGAATATACCAGTGAGTCTGAATATGGTGGTCATACTAACTGAATTTATTCTAATGAGAATGCATACATAATGAAGTTTACCAGAGGTAGAAGAAGAATAAATACGCTTTCATTGGAGTGTTTTTTTTTTTCCTTTCGGTTGAACAAACATTGGCATATTTAAAGCATCCCAGTACTTAGTATATCCACGATTGTGGGAGTAGAGATAGAGGATTAAAATATCCTTCATGAAAGTATTTTTAAATCTGAAGGTGGGTGGGGTGAAGGAAGTAGGAAGAGGAAAGAATGTGGCAGAGATAGTATTTACTTTAAAAAACGTACTACCATTAGAATAGCTTGGCTCTTCTATTTCAACTAAACCTTTGTTGGGAAACAGATAGCAGTGAAGATGGGGAACAAAGGTTGTATGACAGAAGGATGGAAATAAAGTCCAGGCTACCTCAGAGATATCAGGGTTGGTAGGTTTTTGAAGTGAGAGAAAAATTGAAGAAGCAGGGCATCAGGTAAGGGGATTGATTGGTTCATTCAACACTTGACTGTTATGTATGGACTTGCCCATCACACTCTAGCCTAGTCTAAGCACTAACCCAACCCACTGCCGTCGAGTCAATTCCGACTCATAGTGACTCCAAATCTTTATGTAAATCTTTATGGAAGCTGACTGCCGTATCTTTCTACCACAGAGACACTGGTGGTTTCAAACCACTGACCTTCTGGTTAGCAGTCGAGCGCTGTAACCACTGCACTACCAGGGCTCCTACCAGTGTAATCACTAAGTTATCTAATTAGTAAGGCTCTTTAAGGTTGGTTAGGGGTAGAATTGTCAAAGTACTAACAGTGAGGCCAGAGTAAGCACTCTAGGCTGAGGCCATACCAGGCCACATTCATGAGCTCAGCAGATCGTGATATTTACACAGCTTTGACCAGGCAGGTACTAGGAATTGCATTTCAGGGCTTCTTCATTCAATATTTTTTGTACCATGCAAAATATATATATATATAATTATTTGAGTAGCTGAATTCTGAACTCTAAATCTAACTGAAAATATTGAAATCAAGTTTACAGAACTGAAAATTGCTTGTAATTTTTGTTATTGTCTTGGCTTGATTTATAAAATGATCTTATGTTTTGGTACTAATAAATTATTTATATATTAATCCTAACTTTCTTAAATATTTTAATTTTTTAAATATTGGAGCCCTGGTGGCACCAGTGGTTAAGTGTTTGGCTGCTAACCAAGAGGATGGCAGTTCGAATTGACCAGCCACTCCTTAGAAACCCTCTGGGGTGTTCTACTCTGTCCTGTTGGGTCGCTATGAGTTGGAATCAACTCATTGGCAGCGGGTTTGTGGTAACTATCATTCACCTTTCTATTTTAACTTTAAAAAGTTCAATTGAAAAAATTTAATTCAACTATGTTTCATGGTTTCTGTTAAAATCTATTTGAAGTAAAGTGTGATGGTTAAAGCACTTGGATGCTAACCAAAAGGCCAGCAGTTCAAACCACCAGCTGCTCCTCCAGAGAAAGATACGGCAGTCTGTTTCCATAGAGATTATAGCCTTCAAAATCCCTATGGGGCAGTTCTCTTCTGTCCTGTAAGGTTGCCTGAGTCAGAATCGACTCGATGGCAACAGATTTACTTAATGAGATAATTTATTAAATCATTCACAGATGTTCTTAGATTTCTAAATGGATAATAAGCTGAGGTGATCCAGAAGTATATGTAGTCACAATAAAATATATCAGTTACGTGTAAACAAAAGCTTAGTAGCCAGACTGTTTTTACAACTTATATTTTTGGTTACACTAAACATTATTAAAAATGTTAAGTTGAAAAGTACATAGTAGACACTAGAGTATTTTATTTCTTCAAGAATTACAGCTTGTGGGCAATTTTGTTTACTAGCTGAGCACCCTTAGTACTTGGCCATTTGGTGCCACATACATACTCAGTACAGTAAGCCAACTTGGACATTCTGAACTTTCTCTGGTAAGAGACTAGGGGAGAAAAAAATATAATGAAACTAGGACATCAGACTGTTTTTAGGTCAGTAAAAGAGACAATTTTGACCCAAAAAGAGAAAAAAAACTTTTAATCATTTGGGATCATTGTCTCAGAGGGGAAGCAGGAATCAGAAATTGGCTATGTTTAGAGGGTAAAGAGATTTTTTTTCTTTTGAGTCTGTCACAGATTTAACTCACTATTAGGCAGTTGGTTAAGTTAGTTGTTGACTGAAGCAAGTAGCCTAACTAATAGTACTGGGTTTTGAAAATCAATATTTAGTAATGGTTTAACATTACTTCATAGTGATTGGTACCACAGACTCTAGAGCCATATTATCTGGGTTTAAACTCAACTCTGCTACTTCTAGCTGTGTAACCTTGAACAGCTTATCTAACCTCACTTTGACTCAGTTTCTTCGTGTCTAAAATAGAGCTAACATCCTGCCTCCCTCAGGGAATTGTGAGGAGTGAGTGAGGTCATTCCTGTCAAGTATTTAGAACAGTGCCTGACAGTAAATGTGAGCTGCTGTGACAGGAATGTGATTTTGATAATGAAAGGGCAAAATCGTCCTGTGAATAGGAAATGTTTACTTTGGAGAGTATAACACCAAGAGAAGACAAAAGCTGTCATACAGTGAATAAAAAAGACTTATTGCAGAAAGCTAAACTCGGACCATTTGGTAGAACTGTTACATAGGAACAAAATCTGGGTCAATGAAAGCAAAGTAACTCTCAGGCAGTGTTTCCTAAAGTGTGGTGCGCTTGGCCTTTGGTGGTACCCAAGGTGACTTTTGATGATGCACAGGTACACGTTAAAATAAATGCATGACTGTTACAATTAAAGAATGTTCCTTAGAAAGTACATAACTGGCAGAAATCTTATGTTACAGTGACCCTAGGCTTGACTCCATTTAATAAAAAGAATAACATATAAACAATAGTATACTTTTTATGCAGATATGGCAAATACTATAACGTTTTATGATTCTACCTTATTGTTGTGCGCAATCAAATCAATTCCGACTCCAACAGTTAATTACCAGTTAAGGTTAAACTTCTAAATTTTTCTTTCAGTGGGGATAAACGAAGAGTGGTATAAAGATGAGGAAGCTGGTCAGACTAGGTGAAGCTATGAAGTTCCTATAGCAAATCCTTAATACTGAGCCTCTCTGAATTCACATTTTAAAAAAAAGTAGTGTAATACCAGGCCTGTTTGTATCATGAAATTGTATAGATCTAAAAGATTTTAAAAACAATTTAAAAATGCCATAGAAATGTAACTGCAAACAGACTCCTACTTCTGAATAGACCGTCATCCTCAGGGTAGTAAAGTTGAATTGACTTATGGAGACTGCCATTATTCAGTAATTCAGATGTTGTAAAAGAGTCCAAATTTAACATCCAGAAGCAGTTTAGGGAAGTCACATTATATTAAGAATGTGTAGATTGTTTTAAAAAAAAAACCCAAGTTAAATACTGTCTGAAGTTAGAATGACAGCATAAATCTTTATATTTCTAGGTGTATAAATGTTATACCTTTTACTATCATAAGTTTAAAAAAGAAAAAAGTCCCCTTTTTTTTTCCATAGTAGTGAAGAGCAATGCAAAATGATGTATCATTCAAGTATTTGTTTGGGTTTGGATTATATTGTACCTCCCTCAACCCTCTCCCAAGGAAAACAGTTTGCATTTTTAGTGCCTATAATTTTTCAAAAGGGGACGAAATAGAGCAGAAGTATGGGGGTGGTATTAGCAAGCTAGTTTGAAATTTAAGTTTGCCTTGATTACCAACATAGATCCATGTATGTAATGAAGAGCTTGCTGTATTTTGGGGGAGGAAAGAAGTTAGTGTATCTTTTAATTAAGGAAATCTATTCAGTAATGAAATTGGATTTCTGAAGGCAGAGCTCTAAATACAGTATATTAATATATTAAGTCATGAAAATAATGAACTTGGATATACCATCAGTTCTTTTTTATGCTAATGGAAGTGGATAACAGATTTATTTTGGATCTTGAAAAGGACTATCATTTGGGAGGCATGTTTCTCTCCTTGATTTTTTAAGTAAGATTATTGGGACCCCAGTTACAAATGGTGAAATCACTTGCATAGGAGAGGTCTTCAGGCTTTGCTCAGAGCTGGGTTATTATCTTTATAAGTGTGTGTGTGTGTGTGTGTGTGTGTTAAAAAGCTAATTTAGTTTTTCATTTTTTGGTTTAAATCAGGTGTACTTTTTTATAATCTTTATAGAATATATGTACCTGATTTTTAATGTTGTAAATGTAATTTTTGAAAATCAAATTGCTCACTTTTTTTCTAAAAGAGTTTGGAGGGGCATATTGTTTAAAGAAGTCTTTTTAAAAAACATATACTGAGTAGTCACTTAATGATTTTCTTTTCTCACTGAGGTTTTTTTGGTAATTCTGAGTCAGAGTTACCACTATATACTCCAGAAACATACATACTTATCACAGCATCTGCCAGAAATTCACATAGAAGCATTGGTAGGAAAGTGAGCACACAAACCATTGTTTAGTGTGATGGTAGCAGTTTGGTTATTTCTATGACAGGGAATAGGAAATGGTTCACATAATTTAGCTGCTTCTGCAGTCAGCTCTATTTTTGGTAATGTAGAGACTTGGAATCTGAGAGCTGTCCAAAAAATAAGTGGAATAGTTCTTTACAGGATTCCAAAATTACTCAGGTATGAGATAGTTGGAGAAATTTTCTAAATAATTATGTCCAGCCTGGGAATGAGATGAAACCTTAAGATGCTGTAAACATTTGTACACATTTTTACTATTTTAGTATTGAGTAGCCTCAGCTAAGAACATAACAGCTATGAACATAAATTGGTTATGATGTCATTAATTGTGTTCCCATTATGACTTAATCATAATTCACAATTTGACTGTACACTTGATGAGAAATTTCAGTTGCTTTTTAAATCATTGATCTTTTACACCCGAGAATAAAATTCCCCAAAGCAAATTAATACTGGAGGAGTTTGTGGTTAGGCCATGCTTGGGATAAGCAGGAAGCCCACCTCCTGAGACTGTTGTGTTTCGCAGTATCTGGGGCTTCATGACCATTTCCAGGCTTAATACAACTGCTAAGACTTCAGAAACTTTACTTGTTTAGGCTCTATTCTGTAGCCTACTTGATAACTCTATTAAATTTCCCTGTATCAGTCTGTTTTCCACTATTGATCTCCCATCTCTTTGAGACCCTATTTTGTTTGTTTGTTTTTAAAGCGTTGTAAATCTTAGAAGACCTAGACACCAAATTTTTAACTGTCACTTCTACCCCCACCCTAATCCCAAACTAACATATAGGTCAGGCAAGCTATGAAGTAAATCTGCCAGGCTTTGAGGTACTTAGAACTGAAGGACGGGTTAAGCCTGCAATAGATTATATAGCTAAATAAAGATATTAGAACAGCGGAGATGTAAGTGAAGTTAGTTTATATAAAAACTCTGGTGTGAGCTTTTATATTTATTGACTTGGCTTATATCTTAGCAGTATAAATGACTAGAAGAGTTGCTAAATTTGCCCCCCTCCTTATCATAGAGGGACTAGTTCTGTAGCCTTAACTTGTGGACTTGCTTATCTATAATAAAGCCCAAGGGTAAAATAAAAAATATCTTTTGTAAAACTTTTGTAAGAGAGACTGTATTTAACAATGTAAAATTTTATCTTTTGATCTTTAAGTTTTATACTTTTGGGAAGAGTATATTTCTGACATTTTAATACATACTTTGAGTTGAGATTTATTCAACATTGATTTTTTCCCTAGACCTAAAAAATCTATTAACATGTATTAAAATCTTAATTTTAATAGTCAGTTTTTGGTTTATTGTCTTGACTTCATAGGTCACTTCCATAGTAAAAATATTCATTGTATACCCAGATTTGAGGGAGAAGAGTTACTTAAAAACAACTTATGAATTTTATCAAACTGGTAATTTTATATAAAAAAGAAATTGCAGTATTTTTACTCCATAAGGAAGTATGTAAACTGGTAGTAACATAGACTGAAATGCCTTTGTACTTTATACTTCTACAATGTGTGTGCATATGTACTATTCTCTGATGGTACTAATAGTAATTTGTATCTGAATCTGTCTTACCTGGTAAGTAGAGACATAAGCACTCAGCAGATAACTGTTTTAAAATATACAAATCAATGGAAAACATTATTAGCTATAGTATATAATTAATCCTTTCTTTCCTAATTTAAGTTTTATTGGATTGTTTACATCCTACCTAAGCCATAGAGGCTTTGAGTATCAGTTAATATTGTTTTGTCTTCTTACTCTGCTCAGTCTTCCAGCATTTTTTCTATGTGAGGGCTTGGTATATGTGGATTGGATCTGAATAGCTTTATATTCCATATAACTCTATAATAAGTAGAAAAATTAAAATTTAATTCTACTTGTTTCCATTCATTTGGAAAATTATTTGGGATGTTATTTAACTGTATGTGTTGCATATTCCTAGCCTGATGATATGAACAAATTTTTATTTGTGATTATTAACACAATTGAATGAGAGTAAATTAATTATGTTTCCTGTTAATCTCACAGAGTTTTTAATACAATCCAGATGATATATTACATATAATAAAAGTACTTTGTAAATGATAATATACCATGCAAATGTTATATAGTGACATTATTGTCATAACTCTTAAAACAATGTAGCAATAATTTCCAGATGCCCACATAGCTTTTCATATCACAAATACTTGTATATGTGGGCTTATTTTTAGTTCTGACATTTTACAATTTGTCCTTTGTTTACATGCAGCAAGGAGTTATGGGCGAAGACGAGGTAATTCACTTCCGTTTGCTATGGTATAACTGCTTCTAAGTGGGTTTTATTGATCAGTGTTACAATTAATTATTCTAGATTTTTTATATAAAGTCTAAAAATTCAAAAAATTGTATTTTTTATTTGAGCACTTACATGTTGTCGTTGTTTTGAATCTTAAATCTCTTAACCTTTTAAAAACCACGTATTAATACTAATCATGTTGTTTAATAAATGTTCTCCTTTTAAAGTGTCCAGATTTTAACTATTTTAAAAAAATGTATTATTATACTTTTTAAAATAAAGCTGCTGTCTATAGTTTGTCCACTTTAGAAATATGTTTAATGAACATTAGTGAGAGTGATGTACAATATGATTGTTCTACTGTCTAAATCTATAACTGTGATTATTGTCTTGTCTATGGTATATAATTTACAACCGTAGATTATTACTTTTAATTTTGACCCAGTGGAAAATACGAAGTAGATGATTATTAGCACTGATTTATGCAGATCATGTTGCTAATATTTCTGTGTCTTATAAGAATATAGTTATTCTCTCTCTCACGTACCACACACACACTCATACACTCTTTCTTTCTCTCTCCCCCACAGCATTCTTCCCCTCTGGGCTATTGTGTAGTATCGTAAGAAAAAAGCTAGGACTCTGTAGTGCAGAACTGTTATTGGACTCCCTAAGAAAGCAGCTGACTTTTTTTTTTTTTTTTTGGCTTAAACCTTGCCTCTCCTTTTACCATGTACAGAAATTGAGAGGGAGAGAAGTAGATGAGATGAGAGGAACCAAAAGTAACTTTATACTACTAGATTATCCTCACATGAGCAATAATCATGATATTTATATAGTGCTGCCTGTGGTAAGTGCCATACTGAATGAAAAGGGTTTTCCTTGACCTCTAAAATCTCCCTTGAACCATGGAGGATAGACATTAATAATAGTACCCTTTGGTAAGTTTTAGTCATGAGTGTGTACTTTGAAAAACAAGCAAAAGCATTTGCCACCACTGACAACAGAAACTACTATTTTATATCCTTTAGTGGTATTTCTAGTTACGTATTTCAGATCGTCTGGATTTAACTTCATTTTTAGAATCTGGTTTCATCAAATGCTTGACTGAATCTCTTGGTTCTTTGGTTTTCTAACTTAAAAATTAGAGGGAGTAGAACCTCAGACCTCAGAAAGATGAAGCTCAGTAATTTTCTAAAGACTGTTATTAGCAAGCTGGTAAGAGAGGAGAGTTTAGAACTTTAGTACCAGTTTTCAGATCTATGGACTAGCTTATTTTGCTATGCTGTTTTAATATGGAGAATCAATACTATAGCACCACTTACCAGCCTATGATTTTGAGATATTTTTGAAACTATAGAGCAATTCAGGACTCTTTTCTTATGTATATACTTCTGTCTTTTAACTTTAATGACTTATAGTCTAATTTGAATCCAGTGTAAATATCATGGCAAAGGAGGTTCTTAGGAGCAAGGTATAAAAAAATAACATGTTGCTGTTTATTTTCTTTTATCTCTGCTTAATATTTGTAGAGTATGATTATAATATTAAGAAAAAGCAAAAATGTCTTGCCCTGCTTATGTATCTGTCTCCCCTGAGAACTATAAAGAGTTGCAGTCTTCAGAGCTGCCTGGGCACCAGCATTAGGAAGGAGGAAAACTGTCACACGGTTTTAAGATTTCTGGTAAAAGCCTCCTTTAGGACAGAACTGGTAGTTGTCACACTTGTTTGACTTAGTGGCATAGGGGGTTATAAGAACACCTGAACTTTCCTCTCAAATTATGTAGCATTCATAATTTTTTTATTCAGTCCTCTGTTGATATTAGGAGTCTGCTTTTAAAATTTTGATTTTGACCGTCAGAGGAAAGTTGTATCCATTAGAAATAGCTATTGAGAGATTTCATTTAAATTTGAAAGTACTTTGACATGATAGGAGTCCTGGCAGCACACTGGATAAGAGCTCGACTGCCAACCAAAAAGGTCAACAGTTTGAATCCAGCAGCTGCTTCTTGGAAACCCTATGGGGCAGTTCTGCTCTGTCCTGTAGGGTCACTATGTGTTGCAATCAACTCGGCGGCAACGAGTTTGGTTTTTTGGTTTTTGACATGATAAGTAATAAAACATTAAAAAAAAAAAAAAAAACACATTTTGAAAGAATGACCTACAGAAAGGGTTACAAATAGTAGCCTGCCTCTCTTCCTATTTTCTGCTCATTTTTCCCCATTCTGTACTAGATGTGGAATCCCTGGGTGGCACAAACAGTTAATGTGCTTGGCTGCTATCTGAAAGGTTCAGGTCCACCCAGAGGTGCCTTGGAAGAAAGGCCTGGTTATCTACTTCTGAAAAATCATCCATTGAAAACCCTGTGGAGCACAGTTCTACTCTGACACACATGGAATTGCCATGAGTCAGAGTCGACTAAAAGGCAGTGGAGTTTTTGTTTTTGTTTTTTTTTTTTTAATTCTTAGTATAATATCAGTCTCAGACAGATAACCTTTAAACTACCAAAAAAAAAAAAAAACCTAAACAAAGCAAAACCAGTTGCCATCGAGTTGATGCCATCTCGTAGTGACCTTGTAGGACAGAGTAGAGCTGCCCTGTAGGGTTTCCAAGGCTGGAAATCTTTACAGAAGCAGACTGCCCCATCTTTCTCCCACATAGTAGCTGGTGGATTCAAACCACCAACCTCTCATTTAGCAGCTGAGCGCGTAACCAATGCACCATCAGGGCTCCTTTTAAACTACCAAGGGCTCCTTTTTATGAGCTTTATATTTAGGAACATTTGGTTTATAAAAGAAAGTGCATTTATTCATTTATTTAGTCATTAAAAAAAAACAAAAAAAAATCCCTCATATCAGATCTTCTGTTCATGTGGGATGTGTTAAAACACTGAGTTAATGTAATTGTTGCCAAAAATAAGACATGGCTCTTAACTGGTGAAACGGTAGGTAAACTATTATTTTCATAAAGCATTTTGATCTCGTAGTCTATTTGAGGAAGAACTATTTTTCCTTCTTTCTTGCCCTTTGGCATACTTTTCAGGCCAGGCATAGATTAAGTTACCTGTTTTCATTTAAAGGACATCTCACTTGACTATGAAGTGTCAAACCAAATTGCTACAAAAATGAATATATTTTAATTTCCTGAATAATGTCAATAAGAACTTTAAGTCAAGATGACTCTAAATATTAATTTATGAGATGTACCTAAGAATAATAAAAAATTATACTTGAGGTATAATAATGAAAAAGCAAAAAATTGTTTTCCTGCACCTCTAGCCTCTGAAAAGGAGCCCTGGTGGCACAGTTGTTAAGTGCTCAGCTGCTAACCGAAAGGTCAGCAGTTCAAACCCACCAGCCACTCCACGGGAGAGAGATGTGACAGTGTGCTTTTGTAAAGATTACAGCTTTGGAAACCCTATGGGGCAGTTCTACTTTGTCACATGGGGTTGCTATGAGTCAGAATCAAGGCAACAGCAACAGGTTTGTTTGTTTGTTTCCAGCCTCTGGGAGCCACGAAGAGGTCCTCTGCTTCAGAGCTGCCTGGAAGCTGCATTAGGAAGGAAGAAGACTCTCACATTGAGAGCAGACTTTAAAATGAGGAAAACTATCTAACTTTATTATTTATCTGTCCAGTGTTTCTCCCGTTTCATTCTGGGAGTGAACATGTTGGTCTAGGGTTGGAGCAGGATGGGGATTATGAAGGAAGGTGGGAAGCTTAAACTCTACTCTCAAAATATTTTTGATCACAGTCTGCTCTTTTGATAAAGAACTAAAGGGCTACTGGGCTCTAGAAGGAATAAAAATATATAGAATATTTTGAATAAAATGAATAAACTATTTTAGTTAATGGCACTACGTACCAGGAACCTTTTAAAGAAGATAAGCCCAAAACTTGTGTTAGTAGATTATGTATGGAATGGGAGGATAGGAAAAATAACTTTAAAGGGGAACAAATTAGGAAGTTTAGGTAAAGAGGTTGGATTTATTCATAATCATGTAGCCATTCAAATTTATGTGATATAACATTACTAATAATTATGTATTACTCTAGAGTTGTCACTGGATTTTCTGATTTGATTTCACCTCATTTGACTCTTAAACAATCTTGTGAAGTAGTGAAGTAACCAGAGTAAGTAAATAAGTTTCTGAACACAAAGTTAAGAATATCTCCAGTTTCCATAATTTACCTTGATAATAGGGCCTTTTGAATGTCTCTGTGCTTTTGCTCAAGCTAGTATCTTTTACCTAGATAGTTTTTGCCTCTTTTCTCCTCTATGATTTTCTATCTAAAATTACCCCATTCTTTGTAAATCTGCTCATTTAAAGAACCCTTAGTTAGAATCTCACTCCAATGTTAGTGTGCTTATAATTAATACTTTCTGCTGCTAAATTCCCATATTTACTATTTGTACCTTTTCCTGTTACAAACTTTGTTGTTGTTAGTGCCATTGAGTCTGTTCTCACTCATAGTGACCCTGTGTACAACAGAACAAAATATTGCCTGATCCTGTGCCATCCTCTCAATCGTTACTATGTTTGAGCCCAATATTGCAGCCACTGTGTCAGTCGGTCGCATAGATGGTCTTCCTCTTTTTTGCTGACACCCTACTTTACCAAGCATGATGTCCTTCTCCAGGGACTGGTCCCTCCTGATAACGTATCCAAAATAAGTCAGACGTAGTCTCACCATCCTCACTTCTAAGGAGCATATTCTGTCTGTACTTCTTCAAAGACAGACTTTTTTGTTCTTCTTCTGGCAGTCCGTGGTATATTCAGTGTTCTTCACCAACATCATAATTCAAAGGCATCAATTCTTGTTCAGTCTCTCTTATTCATTGTCCAGCTTTCTCATGCATATGAGGCTATTGAAATTACCATGGCTTGGGTCAAGTGCACCTTACTTTGTCCTTAAAGTGACACCTTTGCCTTTTAGCACTTTAGAGGTCTTTTGCAGCAGATAAATTGTTTGATTTCTTGACTGCTATTTCCATTGGT